TGCGGGAGCAGCTCGTGAAGAACTGCGGCCCGTGGGAAGGACTCACGTTGGAGCAGTTCACGGAGGACTGTCTGCCGTGGGAGGGAGCCCAGGCTGGAGCAGGGGCAGAGTGTGAGGAGTCCTCCCCTGGGGAGGAAGGAGCGGCAGAGACAGCGTGGGATGGACTGACTGCAGCCCCCATTCCCCGTCCCCCTGCACCACTGGATGGGAGGAGGTGGAGAAAGCGGGAGTGAAGTTGAGCCCGGGAAGAAGGGAGGGGTGGGGGAAGGTGTTTTAAGATTTAGTTTTTATTTTCTCATTACCCTACTCTGATTGGATTGGTAATAAATTAAACTGATTTTCCCCCAGTCGAGTCAGTTTTGCCCGTGCCGGTAATTGCTGAGTGATCTCCCTGTCCTTATCTCAACCCATGAGCCTTTCGTTATATTTTCTCTCCCCTGTCCAGCTGAGGGGGGAGAGTGATAGAGTGGCTTTGGAGGGCACCTGGCACCCAGCCAGAGTCAACCCACCACACAGCACTGGATAGGTTTGTGAGTGGATCGGGGAAAAGACCGATGAATTTGGAAAGCTCTTGCCTCATGGGAAGGTAATTAAGCAGCAAACTGATGGCTATTTAAAGCAGGTGAATGGTTATTCTTGGTTTAAGGTCAGGGAACAGAGCTGAGCGATGGCACCTGAGCTCACCCCAGAACGGGTGTTCGGAGAGGACTCCACGGAGGGTTTATTTCTCCTGCCAATCTCCACAGGCCCTTGGCCACCTTTGGCAACACTCCTCCTCCCCTGCAGATTGCATTAACCCTCTGCCAGCCTGTGCCCACCTCGCCGATGCCACATGGAAATGGATAAGAAACACGTACGTTGCAGCAAGATCCTTTAACCACAGGGAGAAACTCTACGTACATACAGAAGACCTCCTTCTGAGCTATTCACAGTGCACGTGTCTATGCTGCAGTTTGTCCCCTGCAGGAACAAGGTGCCAGTCCCCAGGAGGGCTGCTGCGAGCTTTTATCTTCTTCGGGAAGCTTTGAAGCCACCCAGACAGACAGAGCCTCTCCCCTGCCCCTCCAAGCAGCCGGGGCTGCTGGAATTCTGGCACTGGTACGTACAGTAAAAGCGAAGCCATGGTTTACATCAAACACACACTCTTCTGTAATTCATGTCACTAACATAAACCAGATGCCATCTTCCTCAGCCTCTGCAGAGAACGATGGCCTGCCTTTGCGTTACATAAACCACCAAGAAAATGAAATTTAAACCTTCAAGAAAAAGCAAAATAAATAAATCAGTAATTAGGCAAAAAACATCCAAGCCAAAAACAGCTTCCAAGTTTCCAGGAAGAATTAGGTTGTTTATGGAAGTCCTGTTTCAACTAACAGCCTGCCTGGCAGGTGGTAGGAATGTGAGTTTGCGGAGAGTAGAAACATGAAGCAGCTCTGCCTGGGGCACTGTGCTTTGCTTTGCTGTTTTCTTGTTTTAGTTAAACAAGAGGACACATTACAAATGTTGAACAAAAGGAGCAGAAAGGAGAGCTGTGCGTCAGTGCGGCCCTTCCTACCTTGTATGCCATAGAGTCGATTCAGGCGTGACCGTCTGGCCTCGTCAGCGTACGGCACAGCTACCCAGGGCATCTCGCTGAAATACTGCTTGAAGGAGTCCTCTGACCTGTGAAAGGAGAACAGGGCATGGGATCCAGAGTATAGCCTCTCAGTCTGCCAGGCTCTTTCCTCTTCTCATTAAAAGCCTGGCCTGCAAAGCCCTTTACTCCTTCTACCAAAGCCCACCAGTAAGGGCTGCTGGTAGACACAACCCGGGGAGAGCTAGACCAAATTTAAAGCCTCCAGTCCCTCAAGAAGGGGTCCGCAGTGCATTTTTTCCTGGTAAAATATTTGAGACTCTCTGGGGCATCTGAATGTCAACCCACGGTGACAGCAGCAGCTCGAGCATCCTTCAGACCTCAGACCCACGAGCCACAAAGCGAAATACAGAGCTGCTCCATGGACAAAGCCTGCTCTCAGCCCACCGCTGCCCTTGCTAACCCCCCTTTGCACTTTGCCGCTGGGCAGAGGGCAAAGGACTCAGGCAGCCTTTCTGATACCAGAGCTAACCTGCTTTACCCCAAATCAAATTTCCTCCTCAAATCAAACCAGCAGTGCTCATAGCTTCCCAGCCTGGGGGCAGCCAGCTCTGCCTGCACAGGGTGTTAGCGCTTCCTTACCTGTCTGCACTAACGAAGAGTATCTCAAACTTCTGGCCCGCCTCCTTGATTTTCCGGTAGGACTCCACTAGGACCCTTGTGAGGCTTCGGCACGGTGGGCACTGCAAAACACAATACATGCATAAGGACATCGTCTCCTCCACAGGGCCAGATCCACACCCAGCAGGTCGAGATGACCTAGTGACAAGACAGATGTGACCTCATCTTTGCTGGAGTGCTGGGCAGCAGCCCTGAACATGGCTGGGGCTTATGGCCCATAAGTTGCCAACAAAACCTCTTCCGTTTTTAAAATCTGACCACTCTTCCCCTTCTGAAGGGCCAGCTGAGGATGACAGGCCACTGCAATGCTGCGGCTTCTTCCAGAATGACTGAAGCATCTTAACTGCTTGAACACCAACCAGCCAGAGGTCTTTACCTCCTACAGTGCAGCGGGATCACCCCGAGGTCACTCTAATTGCTCTGCAAAGCACCTACTACTCACCCAGTGTGCGGAGAAATAGACCCCAACATGCGAGCCCTCCAGGGCGTTGCTGTCTAGTGTCTGGCCGTTGTTCCGTAGCAGAGGCCCGGCAACAACTTCACTGAAAGGTTTTGGCCCCCAGGGGAACTCCAGACCTGGAGAGTGGTCAGGATGAGGGTGGAAAGAAGACACAAAACAGCAAGATGCATATGCAGCGTTTACAGTTTCAAAAAGTTCCACCAAAAAAAACATTCCACCGTCTGCAAAGATACGGGGGAGCCAGGGAAGCCAAGCTCTGTACCAGAGCCAGGGCCACCTCTTTCTTACAGGTAGGCTGCACCCTTGCTCAAGTCGCAGCACCTTCAGCTTAACAAAGCCTGCTTGGGTTTTCTGTCTGATGAGGCATCTTTTACTTATCAACAGCATTTGTTTTAACAACAGAGGGCAAGGTGGTACGTGCTCAGGAATGCAGACTATTTGCCTTATACTGATACTAACCATATATTTTTATATATACACGTTATTTATTTATAAAACCTTATTTTTCTATATGCAAAAGAGGGTTTTTATATATATAAAAACTCCCTAAATATAAACTAAACTTAGACTAACCCTCTGCACCCCAAAGCAAGCATGTGTGCATACACAGAAACACATGCTCTGAATCATCTGCTGCCAGCTCCCGGAGCAATCAATCTATGTAGTCAGCCAGAGAGGAGGAAACATCACAGATGGCTCAGGCCACAACGTGTACTTGCTACACAGTTCCTGCCACCTGAATTGAAGACTCAGTTACCGCACTCAGTATCTAGAGCATGAAGAAACGATCGGTGGGTAATATCTGTGCATGGACAGCCTAGCAGTTGAATGATGGGTGTGCAGAGTCTATGAGTAAGGGCGCATCTTTTGCTCAGTTTGGTTTTTGCAAATTGGAAGAAGATGGATTTAACATCAACCCCTGGTACCGTAAACCTAGGAAACGGAGAACAGTAGCATTTTTCTGTTGCACTTGTAAATAAGGGGGAATTCATTTATCCTAACAGAGTGTGAGGTCAGTGATAAAGTCCCACTCAGTATTTTGGAAGGAAAATGACATCACCACCTTTCCCTATTTGCTCCCAAGGTACAGCAAGTTTGGGCCCTCAGTCTGTCTGTCCATGTGCCTCCATTAGGGAAAAATCCAAACTTAATGTTTCAGTTAGTCTAACTTTTTCCTCATTAGCACTTCAGACAAAAATCCTGGAGGGGAAATCTTTGTTCTTTTCAACAAGCAAAACCGAAACACAAGATCTGGCAGGAATGATGCAGAAAATTTTATGCTGAAACTAATACAGTGCCTTGATTAGTTAACTACGACAATAGTTGTTTGTTTCCTTCCCCCCCTACCACCCCAAGGCAACTAAAAATGAGCTGAAATGAAAAGGCAGCCATGTGCCCGTGTTTCTATGGCACACGGGACTCCAGGTCTTACCTTCTGGGTCATCTCGGATGACCAGGAGGCCGTTCCTGCAAACCACCTTCCCGGTGGAGGCATCAATAAATATCAGGGAAGGAATGTTGGAGACTCTGTACTTGTTCCACAGCTTCAGCTGTAAAAGAGACCGGGAGGGGAGAGGACAAAGGTAAACTTGGCCACATGAAGAGGAAGATTTTGGGGCGTTAGCATCTTTCAGATCAGAGGTCAGAGCTAAGCACAGAAACAGAGTCGGTGCTTCAGCAATGCATATGAAGGCATGTGAAGGCATCTCTCCAGAGCTGCTGGGCCAACCTGGACCTCCAGCGCCCGCAGAGACACAATCTGTCAACACCATCCCCTTGGTACTGCGGTTGAGACCAGCGCTTGTCTCATGCCTGTTGCAGGGTTGCCTGACGAGCACAGGTAAAGCTTCTCCTCCTGCTGCATTTGCCTTTTTGCAAGTAAAATGGGGATAATATTTACCATAGTTTGAGGTCTTTGTTTAGCAGACATGGTAAGCACCAATACTTCTAATGCCACTGCTCTGAAGCAATTTGTAATGCTTCCCTGGCTGCTTCCTCCCCTCCCATTTCAATGTTCATTAAACAAACCAGCAACCCCTGCCAAGACACAGCCACGCTGAAACCAAAGCTGAAGCAAAGAAACACAGTTCTTCTGCTACTGGGGCTTCCCGGGTTTGTTCCCAGGAGCTGATTAACGGGTTTGACATCAGCCTGGGGGCCGTGTAGCCCAGCTCATCCATCCCACACTGCCAGCCTCGCAGCGGTCCCCGCTGGCTACGGATAGAAACCATACAGGCTGCAACGGCCACGTTTTGGGCGTCCCAGTCTATCAATCCTGGTCTACCAATCCCGTTGCTGTCTACTGGTCATTACGCTTTGCAGTGAGCTCGGCTCTGCACAACACCGGTGACTGAGTGCTCTGGGTGTCACCCCGTCCTGGGTTGACATTTCTCAGCATATGGTTCTGGCACAGGATAATCTGGAGCTTAACCCACGTACAGAAGCTCACCAGGATGGGGAGGAATGAGACAACGACAGCTGCTGGCATGGCCCAGCCTGCAGGTGTGGGCTGGCTGCGGCCAGAGGAGCCCGTCTCCCCGCCACGCATGGAGGAGCTGCTGCCATCACCACGTTTACTTACATTTCTCCAAACGTTTCAACCTAAACAGCCCAGCGGTGAATTATCAAACTCTTAAACAAAAGCCAAACCATAGCCAAGAGCCAGAGGGGAAGGAAATGAATCACCACCTTTCCCTAAGCTCTGCTCTGCAAAGCCTCTCAGGCTCCAGGCATTTACAGCTCGCTCAGGTTTAGAGAATAAAACCCAGCAACGGGAGACAGGCAGGAGGGGACCGAGAATCCCACCCAGCACCAGCGCGGGCTCACGCATGAGCGCCGGAGAAAGCCTCACACAACACGCTGCTGCTTCCATCAGTAACTCACGTGGAAACCGGACCCAGATGCTTTCCCAGAGAAAGAGGCCACAACTCTGTGGATTGCCATCCCTGATTTCTGAATAGAGGCAATCCCGTTTCCCGAGACGGGAATGATCTGGGGACCCAGCAAACGAGGGCAGGAAAGGGACGCAACGTTCAGGCAGAGCAAACCGGATCCCTTGGTTTGCTCACCAGAGATCTAGCTGAGGGAGAAAGTCACATCCACATTCAGGTTTTAATGGCACTGTATTAAATATTTCTTCCAACACCTTTTTACAAAAGATACACCTGAATGAGTGACATAGGCCAGCCTGCTTGCAATGGGGTTTTAGCAAAACCCCCTTCGGTCTGAAGGAAAGTGTTAACACCGATCTAGGAAGATTTTATCAACCTCCATCTACTAGGACCCAGAGAAAGGCAATGCTTTGTGTCCTGCCCACCAGCCTTCCAATAGACATATTTCTTGGGACAAGCAGACTCATTCATAATGCTGATTCACAAAGCAAATGGCCTCGGGCATGAAAAAAGAAAAAAGAAATCGTACTAAATGCAAACCAGCCCCCTCACAATGAGAGTGTTCAAACCACAGAAGGTAAAATCCACTTCTGTGAAGTTTAAAGGGTGGGTGAAAGCTCTTTGAAAGGATCACAGGCATTTAAGAGGGTGTTGCAAACAATGAGGAAATTACAACTAGCAATTGAATCGTTCTCTTTAAATAGTTGCTTACATTACACTTCATTTTGCCAAGCCCTTTGTTTATGGGCAGCACTCCCCTTGTGGCACTACAGCGGTGGTTTTGCTGGGCTGGGTCTGCACTTCAGAGCCAAAAGGCTGCATGGACTGGCCGTGCTCAGAGGGACGGGGCTGGGACACTCCAGATAAGGGATAAGACCAAACCAAACCCGCTCGCGCTGGAAGCACTGGAGTGAGTGGTGCACGGCTGGCTCCAGGCAGTCTACGGGGTCCAGCAGACCTGGAAGCTCTCGCCAACAACTAGCCCTGGGTCTTCTCAGGTTGTGTACGCCATCAGGCCCCACTGGGCCCAAACTGCCTTTGCAGAGACTCGTCTTGGCTGCCCAGACATCTGTGGTACGGGTAATCTGCAATCCAGATACTCTGTCCCCATGAAATGGAGGGTTGCCTCTTCTAGCTCATCATTGAGGGTCCACAGGAGAATGCCTCAAGCAAGCTTGAAGCTAGGTGTGTGTCGAAAGGGTCAAAAAGCATCAAAAAACGTCAGCGTGACATCTGCTGCTGCTGGGGGAATGTCCATCACCAGGCTCTGAGACTTGAACCCAATGAACACCGACACACTCAGTCACACCTTGGGCGACTGAGAAAAAGCAACCAAAACTACCAGATTTTACCTTGCATCTTTGCAAAAGCTTCAAGCATCACGCAGCTCCCAGACACCACCACCCAGCCATCCCAGGTCACACCAAACGTTCAGAGCTTCATACACGCTGAGCAGCGCTTATTATGTGCAACTATGTGCCACCTGGGCTATCACTGAAACCCATCGTATGACACGGATGACCAACACGACAACTGCACATAAGAAGACTGGAACTGGGTTGCCATTTTAAGCCCGGTTATAAAAGGCTTGAATTGCAAATTAGTGGTCTCAACAAACTAACCGTATTAATTTCACTGTCTGTATCGGAAAGTACACAAATGTCCTGTTTAAAGCGGGAGCAGTTTGGTTTGATGATTCTCCTGTGCGCTAGGAAAGCTGATGGGGAATGAGAAACGCATGCGCTGCAGGACGAGCGCCAGGGTCTAGCACCATTCCCACCGCCCTGGCCCCCTTCAGCCAGGCTTGGCTTTCCAAAGCCTGTCAGAGACTTCTGAAGGAAGCCTGATGGCTCCTTTTCCTGCAGGTCTGACCTGAAAGAGCACAAGCTTGATAGGAAATAGGCCTGGCTCATTTTAGCTGGGCTTTTTGGATAAGATAGCTCACTATGGGATTCCCACACCGCACCACTATTTCGCAGCTGAACTACAGCTTCCAGCAAAGACATCTGATCTCCACCTAAAGCCTCCGAACACCAGGATGACCTAACCTGCCTTGTGGCAAACTATTGCACCGTATAGTTTTTCTCAGGGTAAAATGTCAAGGGTTTGCACACGCGCAGGCTCTGAAAAGGAGATGAGCTCCTCCTCAGTCCCGCTCGGTGTACACCCGCTGGTTGTGGTCCATGCAGGAAGGGGAGCCCAGGAGAAAAAAGGCATCCCTCGCACAAGTACCTGCCCAACCGTGCACCTCGCAGAGGATCCTGTGTCAGGCTGGGCGTGGGATGTGGAAAGCAAATTACGACTTGCTCTGAAACCACAGGATGATGGGATGATAGCTCAGGCAGCAGGGCAGAGTGCTGCCTCAGCAACTTTTAAAAGCTGTTTTTCCTGCCGCGAAGAGGATGACATAGAAATAACATACTCCACACTCTGAGGATTTGATCATCCATTTAAAGAGGGGATCTCTGCTCCGCTTCCCAACAGCTGTTGCAAATCTGTGGGATTGAGCCAAAGCTAACACAGATGTGGAAATAACCTACGGACTATTCAGGCTGAAAGCAGCTGATCCTCTCGGAGCACCCTTTGCTCCTGGTTCAGGCTGCACGCCTGATGAACTCAATACTCACCCCAGGACACCCACTGGAGAAGGAGCGAGGAAATACACCCCCTCCGAGATGCCGTATGGGCTGATCAGCTTCACAGAAACCTCTCTGGCTCCTGTGCAGGTGGTTAAGTACAGCAGACCAGTGGAAAAAACAGTCTCACCAGATTCCTCTGGTAATCTTATCCCTATGCAAAGCATCACCATGCTGTCCTGGAGGACCAGGAAACCGCAGCCCTAGGCTCCCTCTGCGACTGCATCCACGACCAGCCAACGATCACTTATTATTTGAGGTCCGAGGCGATCCCAAGATGTCAGGCCACACAGCAGTGCGCAGCATTGGTCACAAAGCTGGTCTCCACACTGGTGGCTGGCTTGGTTATTTCCCCCACTCTGGTGACTGGGAAATGCCTGGCTGAGAGGCACGTTGGAGAGTAGTTTGCAGGCAGCTGCAGTAATTTTTCCAGATAAAGGTGTCAGACGAGAGGTCTCCCTAGCAGCCCACGGCTGTTTCTGCGCAGGGCTGGCATCCGGCCGGGGTGGATGAAATCCTCTCCTGCTCTGTGGGGGACTGGTGGGGAAGGGATCCCCTACTTCCAACAGCTGCCGGGCGCTATTTTTGGTTGTGTTGATTGATTTATCAGCCCTTGGTCGCATTCACTTACTAACATAAATCCTGAGCTGCAGCAGTTAACGCTGGCAAGATAAACTGCTTGCAGTGAAACGAGCCCTGGCTGGTGGGAAAGTGGTCCTCCCGCCCTCTTTGGGGGCTGGCGTTTCTCCGCTGTTGCGTGAACCTGGACCATAAAAGCTCTCACGCCTCCATCCGTATGCATCCATCATCACGCATCCATAGGATACGGAGCTGCCTCCACCTGGGAGATGTGGAGGTTTCAGAGGCACCTGCCCATGCCAGCAGCAGGGCAGACACTGCCTCTGCTCATTTTGCAACCCATGCTTCCACCCTGACCAGCGACAGCCAGACAAAGCTGGTTTAAAAACTCAAGAGCAGATTCCTTAGCGATAATGAACATGTTCCCAACGTGGACAGCTGCTG